TGTGTGGTGCATGCGGGTGTCGACAGCCCGTCCACTCTGCTTGCAGCGTCCGCTCCCACCCGAGCCAACCTCCGCCCCAACAGCTTTTCGCCCCACACTGCCCGTCCGCTCTGCTTGCTCGCGCCCGAGTCCTTTCCGCCCACGCTTTCGCGTGGGACCGACGGTCTGTGCATCCGCCTTTTGTGCCAACCTCCGCCCCAAAATCTTTTCGCCCCACACTTTCGCGTGGGACCGTCGGGTCTACCTCTGCGTGCCGCACACCCTTCCTGCCGAGTTCCCCAAACATGGGACCCGGGTCTTGCGTGGGGCGTCACGCGAGACCCACTGTTTTCTTTAGTAGTATGTAGATGTAGAAAAAAATGAAAGATGTGTAGAATTCTGATGGCAAACTTTTGACTTGGCGTCACATCAGATGCACAGCAACTCGGACATCTGCGATTTGCTTGACATAAAAAACACACTTGAATTCCTTAACGAATCGAAGATATGAAAGAAAATACAAAAAGTCAAACAAATGCACCCCGCTTTGAACCCTCTTTAAACCCCATTTATACCTCGTTTCCTCCCACGGCAACGGCAAAGCTGAAAAACAAGAAAGGGACTGGATTTGGGCTGCTGCTTTCAGCGGGTGCAGAAACACCCCGCTCAAGAAAAAACAAGAAAAAGGTCTCCGACTTTTCACATGCCCAGGTTGACCCGGGCAGGAGCCCCCCCAGGGGAGTTGCCAGGCGACCGAGTGTCCCAGGTATTTGCTAAAATTGGACATCAGCATCTGTTACGCCAAATGTTCGTTCTCTGTTCTATAGAGCATGGGATGGCGATAACCTGTCAAACCCTGCTCCTAACTGGAAGAGCAACCAGAGGGAAGGTTCGACTGGACAGCACAATCCCCTAACTCTTAAACAGATGACGAATGCAGGACAAAGTATACAGACACCATAGAGGTTCACCAGCAGCCTTTCCCAGGTGATTAATTCAAAAAAAATGCGAATGATCTTTCAGGGAGGGTAACGATCAGACAAAGCTATGGTGAGGAGGATGAATGAACGGATGGCCATGGTTTAGAATGAGGAACTGAAGAATCATAAGCAGACGACGTGGACGATATAGAACGGCAGATGGAAAGGTGAAGAGAGATGAATCTGACTTCAAGAAGTGTGAACGAAAGAGATTTAAACCACTAGTACCTTTGCCGCGTGGGAAAATAGAGGGCCGCGGGTGGGTCTTCGACCTTTTAGAAGGCGGAAACGAAACGACGGCCACCGATGAGATCTATCAATGGCAGCCGTCGTCGGGCCCAGGCTCCAAAATCTTCAAGAACAGCCCATTTCCCTGATTTCCCAACACTGGCTGGAGGTACAAGTGCTTTAAGAAAGACATGCATACAGGACGAGACAAAGAAACACATACAAAACGAGAGAAAGGAAATGCATACACACCGGATTTAGTGTCTCAGGCATTCCAAGAGCTGCCGCAATGAAAATACAAACGACTTCACCAATGTTTGACGAAACCATGTACCGGATAAACTGTTTCGTGTTGTTGTATATTGCACGGCCTTCAGCAACAGCCTGCACTCAGGTCCCAAACCAGTATGGACACACATGCAAACAGCTTTGTGATTTTTTTTGTATTCGTTCCTCCGCATGAACCTTCCACCATACTTCAACACCCTGCACTCACGTCCCCAACCAGAGTGGACACCCTGCAAATTGTTTTGTATAGGTTCCTCTGCATGAACCTATCATCATACGCATTAAGATCACATTCAAAACTGTAGTTACCTTCGAGTGAAGACAGTAAGGCTACAAACTTCACCTGAAAATAACACTGAAGCGGCGGCAAAATTCAACTCAGCAACTTGTGCTTCGAACAATGTCTTTTTCACACTCATTTTCATCTGAAAAGAAGGCCCATTCGAAAATATTCAAAAGAGGTGCACATAAATACTTAATAGTAAGCTAATCATGGTAACCATCCGGACGCCCAGACCGGGTTCCAGACAGTCCGGTGTCCGGTCCTTATGTCCGGATGGAGCCCCCTGGGGCAAAAATCGCAAAAAAAAAACGGGCGGCCCAGGACGTTTATTGGGTCCTGGCCGCCCCTAAAAAAATAACGGGGTGATTTTTCAGTGTCGTTTCACCCCACCGGACAGGGCCTAGAGGTCCGGATACAAGACACTGCAGGTTTTTGGGGTGGCGGGTTTCGCACAGGCCTGAGCAATTTCAAAGCTGCTGTTTCGACGTGGCGCTGCTGCCCGTTGGGAGAGAGAGAGAGAGAGAGAGAGAGAGAGAGAGAGAGAAAGAGAGAGAGAGAGAGAGAGAGAGAGAGAGAGAGAGAGAGAGAGAGAGAGAGAGNAGAGAGAGAGAGAGAGAGAGAGAGAGAGAGAGAGAGAGAGAGAGAGAGAGAGAGAGAGAGACAGACAGAGTGCACTGACGGTGCTGCCAGTCTGAAGACTCTGATGTTCTGAATTGAACTGTAAAGTTCAAACTTCTAAGTTATATATGAAGTTATGAACTAAAATTACTAAATCCAACGTTCAAAGTTAATCGTAGTTTTTTCAAAAAACAAAAATTTGTTTCTTTAGTCTTGTGCCTGCTTTGCACTGTTTGCAACTCTGTGCAAGGCATAAGGCCCCGACGAGCCCCTTTGAGCCCTGTAAGCAGCACTGTCGGCCACCCTAAGTGAAAGCATGCTCGACCAAGGCCAAGAAGCCTACTTTTCAGCCACCACCAACTGGGGAAATTCAGGCAGTTGCGCAGCGCCAGTTGGTTGAGAGCACCCAGGCCCTGGCTTCCTTTTTCGTACGTAACCGAGGCAGGCCCCGGGCCAGATATAGAACATGGGCCGAACACAGGCTGCGGGCAGTCGGACACAGGCAACCGTCACAGGCCCTGGGCCTGATTCGTTTGGACCGAGGCTCAGCCTCTCGGGGCCTACTGGAAGCTTCTGAGCAGGGGCCCAGCGCAGCCAGGGCACACGCAGCAGGCAGGCCACTTCCATTTAGGAAAGTGCCAGTCCCCGCATTTAGCATTCGGGCACTGGCTGCATGCTGGGCAAGCGCTGCTGCGCTACTCGCTGGCCAGGCCCACGCGGTCACGGGCGAGCAGGGAGGGAACGCAGCCATAGCCGAGCTGCGCTGCTGTATGCTGGATGGGGCGCATGGTGGTCCTTGGGTGCAAGCGGCATCTGTGAGTGGGGGATCGAGGTTGTGAGTGATACGAGAGACATACCTGGTGCTTGAGGCGAACGGCATTGGCCGAGATCTGCTCGTACTTCAGGGAGCTGTTGACGTCACCAGCGGCATTGTAGATAGGCTAGATAGGATCTGCCAGCTGTAGTCTGGGCGCAGAGCACCAGATAGGAAGTCGACATTGGTTCTTTGTTGATGATGATGAGACTATTCCAACATTGTCACTTACGAGCTTTTGCTGTGCTCTTATTTGGTGGAACTTGTGTTGCAATTCTGCTTTTGGTTCGAGGTCACGACTATCTGGATTCATGCATATGATGCTGCTTGGGTTTCTGGAGTTCACAATCGCTCATTTTCCTTGCAATTTGGTATCAGAGCTGTGGTACGGTGCACTAATCTGGCGCTTGTCTTCTGCCTATACGGTACATGCACGTGGTCTGCTGGGTGAGCGGCCGTGGGAGGTGTGTAGTGAGGAGGGCGAAGGCAAGCAGGCGACCCAGGTGGAGAGGGGTATCGCCAGGAAGGCTACGTGGTGATTATTGGGTGTTCGCAGTGTGATGAGAACTATCTGATGTGAGATTGATGCTGAGGTGGAACGGAGGTGTAATGCTGGTTGTGCCGAAGCAGCAATTGGTCATCACAATCGGCATTAGGTCATCTGGTGACAATATATGTGGTTGGGGGCAGCTATTTTGAGGTACGTTGCTCTTAACCTTATCTACCCTCTTTGACACTTCTTACCGTGAGGATATGTGTTCTGTCTTGAGAGTCCTCTCATGTGAGGAGTCGAGTGCGCTGAACCTTGAGGGTCGGCATTGTTCACGTGGAGCATCTGGAAGGAGAGGGCAGAGGTATCTGAAGGGCCCTGGACGAAGCACTGGGTCGCGGTCACCATGCCAACCCACCGGGAGTAGAGCACGCATCCTTTGCTGCTTTGTTGTTTGTCTGCCTGCTGCGCTGATTGATGGGTTATGAGGGGCAGGCCAGCCCTACAGGGGAGACGAGTACCGGGCGTCTAAAAATGGGCACCGGCGGGGTTCCTTCCATTGGCTGTGACCGTCGTCTTGTCTGCGACGTTGAATAATTCCCGAGGACTTCGGGGCCCGTCCTTAAATGCCTCTTGATCAGCCAATCGATCAGTGTAAGGCTCGCTGCACTCGAGGGTAAACATTGTGCAGGGCTGGTCAGCTCAGCATACACTCGGGGCACAGGGGTGGGCCGTGTGCACACCTTTAGACATGCACACTATCCGGATTGCTCAGGAACACTGACGTCAAGAGGCAATCAAGAAGAACTGAGGGAGGGGTAGGTTTCAGGTGATCAGTTTGGGAAAGATTCCACTCTGCAAACAGCCATGCAAATGATTCTATTTTTATTTTTTATTAGTTAAGATGTACGGCCGTTGACATCTGACAGACAGCAATAGTTAGAAATCTGCTTCTGTTTTAGGCTGAACCCCGGGCCGCCCGGCGGCCGGCTCATCGCCCGGGGCGGGGGCCGGGCCGCCTGGCCGGTCGTTCCGCCCGGTTGGCCACCGGGCAACCCCAGCGCATCGTAGAGTTTTTTTTTTTTTGTTTGTTTGTTTTTTTCCGTCGCGGGAGGCCTTCTTCCCCCCAAAGGAGGGCGTGGATGAAAAAAAAAACACAAAACGGACCGGTAGGCCTGATTTGAACAAATTCAAATCAGGGCCCATCTGCGCTATCGATCTCCAGGATCGACGCCCCAGATGGGCCGCGATTTGAATTCATTCAATTCGGGCCCACCGGCCCTTTTTTTTTTGTATACTGAGTCTACTTTCCCGCGTCATTCTTCGTTGTGCCCGACCCTACGCCTCACTTCGGCCGACGGGTGTAATCGTCGTCGCCGTACAAGTCCGCGCCCGTCAACGCCGTCGACGCCCCACCCGACGCCCGGCGAAGAACGCCATCGCGCTGCCCGCCGACGCGCGCCACGGTGAGTGTGTTAGTACGAGAGAGAGAGAGAGAGAGAGAGAGAGAG